GTTTCATGATGCCAGCTTCTAAAACCATCCTTTTAAAGTTCCCCCTCCAAAAATTACAAAAAAAATGTCGGTTTGAGCTTCATTACTGATTACACAACTTTAACTTTACGTGTGAAAGGTTTAGAATAATCCTTCATTCCTTTCAACCATTATATAAAGCAGAATAGACAAATGAATACTAGGGGCCCATAACTCCCTTTTCTTCTTTTAGATAATTGCTGCCGAGGTCTCTCGTGTTCCCCATGAAGTAGCTAGTTTTCGAGGCACAGCTGATCGTGATGGACAAATTCCACTTTTTGACATGCCAGATGCACATTCCACCACTTCCACACTGCGTCTTCATCTTCGTGTAAAACCTAAGCAAGCACACTTTGAGGTTCTTCTCTACCGAGATGCCAGTAGTGGTACCTTTCGACCTCCTAGTCTGGCGAATGTCCGACGTCTGGATAATTTTGAAAAGCATGCCAAGTGTCTAGAACCCCAGAAATGGAGCCAAGCTCGAAAATTGTGCATTTGTCGCTGATTTAGAGGTTCTTATTTCTTTTCTGTGTATAAATTTTACTTGTGCAATACCCTATGTGTAAGTATATCTGCCCGCATCCACCACAAATAAAGTGTCTGGAACAACAGAACGAGGCTTGTCTATTGACTTCTGTTGATGAGTTTGTGTGTTGAGTCCAGCCTTACAGCTGGTTATGTATTCGTTGTTTAAGATTGACTCTTGAGTTATATGCCACTGTAACTACTTCCACCTCGTCCACTACTTTGATCGCGCACCAGGTCTAACATCTACGTAGTTTCCAGCACACCTGTGCTCTAAATTCCAATTCTCTTCCTGGAAGGAGCTACTCAAATCCTCCACTTGTCATCGTCCAGACGTCTAGGATCCACGCAACAATACATACGGATGGACGGATATGGGGTGGATAGGCAAGTGAATGAATGCTAAGATGGTTGAATCTACTTTACTCCACAATGGCTACTACAGTCTTTTTTCTAACCAGATCACCGGAATCGCATCCTATAATTAGTTGTAGAAATTGTAAATTAAATAGGGGATAGCGTCTTTTCCCATGTTTCGTCCTCTGTATTTCCCAAGATGAAACCGGTACTTAGGAAGTAAGGCAGTGACATAAACGGAATGATTGGGGTGGGGGTAATGTTGTCATTTCTGAAACATGAAGGCAGCTTAGTCAGCTACTTGGGCAGTAATTAACGCATAGAACAAGGCGAGGCTCAAAGATGCTCATTTATTAAAGGACTGCTTTTTGGTAAAAAAGATTCACGAATGGCACTTGGCATATGCCGTAAATACACTCTGTGGTAAGGAATAACCCGGCCTCCAAGAAATCAGGAAATTATTTTATCTTTATGGAAGGTAATATCTTTTTAACTGAGTTGAGGTGGGGGACAAAAGTAAAAAACGAAGCTTGAATTACTAAACATTTAAAAGCCTCACTTAGATCATTGGTTAGTCACGTTAAAAGCGTCAAATTGGTGAGATACTCTAAGGTATCCTGTCAATTCTTACTTCCTCTTCTTCAAGATCTGTGTAGTGGATCAAAGTTAGACTGTGTAAAGATGCCAGTGTCAGACACTCATCTTTTGGGCGTCTTCCAGATGACAGTCTAAAGTTTAACAAATGCGGTTGTTGATTATATCCATAAGTCCTAGTGCCTAGTTGATTATTCATATCCGGTGTGGCATCAGATAAACAATTAATACAGTAAGGTGGATGAGTATTTATAATTATCATTTGCAAACACTTCACAAGTTATGTCTTTGTGTCTCGTCTGGCCATTCAAAGCTGTAGCCCAATTTGCAAAGGCTGGCAGATATGGAGCAAAAAAGTGGAAAACGCCCAAGATTTAGAACTCCCTTCCAAAAGTGGCGATGAGCAATGCGGAGCGACTGACAGAGCGTGAATTTGACAATTTTGTAAAGCTGTCATTAAGAGAATTGCATAAAGCTAAGAGGAAGTGCTAATTCTTTTCAGTCATAGTGAGTGCAGATAACAACTAATTTAGGATATTTTGGAAGGTTTTTATTCATACGGAATAGCCAAGTCACAAGGTAAAAGCCTTCCCCAATGGGACAAAAAGTTACTATCAAGTTCACTTTTACCGAGGCTTTTGTACCTAGAAGGAAACAATCCACATTGAAGTGCCTTCTTTTCTACCAAACTTTCATTTTTCCCCTCTCAAATTTACAATTCACGCAATCCCGAGGTTGTCAAACCGCACAAAGAGAGAGCAGTCACCGCTAGGAAAAATGTATGGAAAGGAGTCTGTAAATATTTCTCTGCTGTCCTTGAATTCGGTGTGGGACTTCTTTAGAGTACACTTTGGTGTAAGCTGAAGTGCGGCATTTTGAGGAGCTGTTTAAGAACAGGTCATTTTTCCCACTGATTGACCAGTCCTGACTGTTACTAAAGAAGCAGCAAAAACGATCAGGAAGATTGTCCTGTTCAATTCTATAGGGGCAGGGCATTTCGCAATTGCGTAGGTGGGTCCCAGCTTTAAGTGGTAGTTGGCGTCCATCAAGGAATGTCCAGTGACCTATCCCACCCACAGTCCGCCAATCACATACACCAACACGCAAAGCATGCGCTGCCTTCTGGGATGAAGTGAGCCTTTTGGGGTAAACAATGCTATATTCATTTGCTCCATAATCCAAAAATAACAGAGTCACTCCACATTGCAGTTTAGTCGGTCAGTGGTATGGAATAAAATGGTGAACACCAAATTGAGAAGATTAAAAGCTTATTTTCTGCCTTCCCTTATTTATGCTTGATACATGCATGCGATCTATTTGTGTGGCTCTCACCTCCATTTTCCTACCCCAGATGTTTAGGTGCAAATAGATTGTTTCTTTACTGACAGGATCATGAAGAAAAGTTCAAGACATGCTCTGTGACAGAATCGGAAAAGCTGTTATTGACTAACTCGAACTACATCCGTCATGTCACAGTACGGAGCTACACATAAGTGTCAAGTGTCAAGTCTAACACATTCCAGCTACCTTGACATGATCGCCCTTATGAGTCTCATATCAAAGTGCCTGAAGTTAACAAAGTTCCATTTTTCGCAAATTTTGTCCCAGAATTATTTTTACTTCTTGAGGTCTTGTCTGCTTTAGTCTAGATGTCCAGAGTCTTCTGCTTCCCTCACAACAGTGTAAGTGCTCCCGAAATTCTTTGGCCCATTGATGACAGATTTATGAAATGGAAAGAGAAAGGGGTAACTTGAAATTTCTTTTGCTGTGATAAATTTTGCTTCCACACAAACTCATACTCTCTCCCTTGTTGATGCAACCGATACATAGGATTTGCAGTCACTTTTACACCGGGATAGTTAGACTCATAGTAAACCACAGAAGCAGTCCGACCTGTCAGGCGAGGGTTGTCACAAAAAAAATTATTATTTATGACTAGAGTGGAACACGGACTCGGGTGGCAAAGCATGTTGAGCAGGTGATACGTCTTTGGTGATAAATCGATCCAACAAAGGCGACTAGAATACTTGCTGCCAGACAAGAAAGGCTACCTTACGGGACAACAGTGGCAACGGTGTCAACGACTTTGAGAATGTCGCTTGGTAATGAGGGTAGTAGTAATCAAAAGCACAATTTAAGATGAGGGAGAGAGCATGCAAATATAAAGGTACAATATCGTCAGACACGGAAAAGTAGTGCATCATGAAAT